TAGGAGCTTGGGATGGTGGTGGGGGAGCTTCCTTCCAGGTGCTGGGACTGGCTCAGCTTCTCTGCCCTAGGAGCCTGGGATGGAGGCGGGGAGCTTCCTTCTGGGTGCTGGGACCAGCTGAGCTTCACTGCCCTAGGAGCCTGGGATGGAGGCGGGGAGCTTCCTTCTGGGTGCTGGGACAGGCTGAGCTTCACTCCCACCCCTAAAGCTTCTGACTCCTTGAGTCTAGGGTGGGAGCAGAGTATTTACATGTTTTACAGGTTCTGATGAGAAGGATCTGCAGACCATCACTTTGCCTATCACTGCTACAGATGACCTTGGATGAGTACTTATCCTTCGCTTCTACTCTTAGGTCTTTATGGGCAGAAAACATGTCTTCTGTCTCTTTGTGGATCAGCCCACAAACATAGAAAGTGCTCCCCAGATTTCACTTTACGTGTTCACAGTTCTGGATTGCCTTCTCGAAGACCACTGGGGAGAGGATCAAAGTCGCACAGCACAGACTGGCTGGCATAGGCCCAGTTCAGGAGCCATGGTACAATCCACACAGCAGCTTTACGAGGGCTGCCTGGCAACTTCCAGTCCCTTCTCTGGCTTCCAGTAGGAGGATGGAACTGACAGACAGTGAGCAGTTACTCTCTGCCAAATGCTGGGCTGGGGGATGCGTACAGTATCTCGGGATTATAGCAGTACAGCAGCTAGGCCCTTAATTTCACACGTGCACAACACAGAAACCCAGACACCCAAGTTTTTCTGCCCCATGGGATAGCACAGAAGAGGCAGAGGGCTTACCAGCTAAGGAGAAAGTGAGGTAATATTTACTGCAGGTCAACTCAGTGGCCAGTGCATTGTTCCAGATGCTTCCCCCTCCACAGTCTCATTTAATCCTCACAATTATCTTGCAAAACAGATCTCATTTTATTCATTTTATTCACTTTAAAAGTAAGGTAAAAGCCTCAGAGAGGTTATATAATTTTCCCAAAGCCACACAGCTGGAAAACCAGAAAGCTGGGGGCAGTAGATAGAGCCTCTGGTGATCTGTCTGACTCAAAAGCCCTTGTGGGTTCTGCAGCTCAGCTCTGTCCTGTGACATGTCACAGCATGTGTGCACAGTTTGCACAGCACATCACCACCAGAAATGAGAGAGTAAGTCTTGGGATTCCACATGCCTCCAGCTCCCTGCCAATACCTAGCATTTTGTTTGCTCAGGCTTCCAGGGTCTGGCCCCTGCACACAGATTGGAGACTACATCTGGGGAAATTATAGCGCACAGGAAGGGGGTGGGCAGGACCTTGGATTCTGGGAAGCAGGCCTTGGTGGCATGGCTGGTTCCTGTCAGGTAACTGGAAGGTGAGGGTTTGTGGTTCATGGAAGCGTGACTGTCCCCTCCCTCACCCCACCACACTCCCACCTTTACACACTCTCCATGGACAGGCTTTCTGGTCAGGGACATGAACACAGATCTGGGGGCAGCTCACAGAGATGTGAGGGATCAGATTCAAGGTGACACACCAGCACATGCAGAATTGTACCATGTCCACACCCAGACTCACCCACAGAGCAGGCAGATGTACACAGAGGTCAGCCAAGGACCCCACGCACAGGGCTGCTCAAGCCCACACTCCCACAGCCACGTGCAGGGTGTGGAGGGCACAACCTGCACCAGCCACTTTTGAGGTACCTTGGTGATTGTCAAGAAGGATGGGAACAGTGGGGAGTGTTTTCTCCATCAGTGCCTTGCCCTTCTACCATGGATGGAAACCCACTGTTAGAAGGGGCTCTGGCTCCTTTCCCATAGTTTGTCCTTTTCCTGGGCTCAACTCAGTTCCCTTCTGACCCAAGCTTAGAGGCATGGGGTCGGGGAGGGGCGAGAGGAAGTGAGTGATCAGGATGAGGAAGGGAGGGATGAGGTGGAGGAGGACCCCTCCTGAGCTGCATGGAGGTCAGGAGGGCTGTTACTTCGCTGTGCTTAAAGGCAGCCTAGATTGTGGGAAGCAGGGTCTGATCCAGCTGTTGCCAGGACTCCTGGTCCTCAGGAAATGAAGCTGGGGACCTCAGCGTCCCTGAAACGCTGGAGAAGGGGAGAATTGAGTGGTCAGCAGCTAGGGTGACAGGATTTGGGAGACTCAAGTTTGGCCAGCACCAGAGGAGGCTGACACCTGTTATGGTACCCCTATGAACTGTCCTTCCCCCAGGTCAGGCGCCCAGACTGAGGTGCTTCTCTGGCTCCGAATCCTTACTGAAGAGCACGCGGCAGGGTGGGAGTGAAGGGAGGCGATCTGCCAATGGGACTGGGACTGGGAAGCTAGCCAGGGGAAAGGAGATGGGAAAGGGGAGTTTTGGTGATGACTTCGGCAATTTGACCCCAGAGGAATAGTTTGGGTGGGGGTCCCTCCTGCTGCCCCGACCTGCCCATCTTAGTAGTGGGCAGCCTGCTGCATTCCCACCCTGCTTCCCCACTGCAGTGCAGGAAGGGGGCCAGAGCCCGCCTGACCACCTTACCGTCTGTGGCGGGCTTCCCACGGTCATCTCCACGTAGTAGCCCTGGCCCGACTTGCCCCTCAGGTTGTCCACCATCTCCACGAAGCTGCCCCTCCTGCCGAGCTCCTCGTCAGTCTCCCGCGGCAACCTCAGCCCCAGGGGCGCCCCTGCCAGGCCGCTGCGCAGGGGCAGTCGGATGCTGTGCTGGGTGCCGTGGGCAGGCAGCACTCCCGAGCCCACCCACAGCAGGAGCCAGGGCAGAGCTGGGGCCATGGTGGGCCCGGGCCTTCTGGGCTCGCTCGGGCCCACGTCCGTCCCTGTTGCCTTGTCCCTAAGTATGGGTGGTGGTGGCTTCTCTCAGGAGAGGGGGCTTGGCGGCATCAGGAGTCCAGAGCCTGCAGGCCCCTTAGCCAGCCCCCGGGTCCAGGCGGTGCAGAGAGGGCAAGAGAAATCCGCAGAGAACGAGAGGAGAGCAGTGGCTGTGATCCGGGACCCAGCTACATCTGGACGTCGGCAGGCAGCCTCAACTGCGGGCTCGGGCCCCTCTAGAGGCTGGGAGGGGCGGGCATGGCAGGGTGGCGCCCGCTGCAGTCCGGTTCTCCTGGCGGGGCTGAGGAAGTGGGAAGGAGCCGGGGCTCTAGGTTCCTGCGGCTGTGTTGGCTGCTCAGGCCACCATAATCCAGCTCCCAGCTCCCAACTCACAGCTCCCAGACAAGCAAGGGAGGCGGAAAGACTTGTGGCGGTGGCTGTCAAAGCCAAAGGGTTTTCGCTTTGCCCTGGGATCACTGGGAAGTGTAGTTTTCCCATGGCAGGCCGCCCTGCTTCCGGAGCTGGAGAGGGGTCTGGGATGCCCTCTACCGTGGCGGAGTCCACCCTGCAGGATCCTGGCGGGTGAAAGAATTCCCCAGCCCAGGCTGGGCGGGAAGAGCCCTTGGGTAAGATGAGGAGTGACTGCTCACCTCTCACCTGTCAGTCCTTTCAGCGTTGATGGGCATACTCGCTGCATGCCAGCCACTCTGCCAGGCACTGGGGCCACAGAGAGGAGTAAAATGGACACACACCATCAATGAGTCCATACAGGAGAATTAGATGATTCTTGACACAGTGGGGTGGCACA